AAAGGCGCAGGCGAACATGACTGTACCCATCCCTTTTCCGCGATGGCCTTGGCCAGCCCCAGACTTGCCGAATCCACTGTGCCATCTTCACTTCTTTTTTCATGTTCTCGACAAGCCAGGGATGTAACAGCATTTCCTTTGGAGTCGGTCGGTCGGCGGCAGCGACAGTAAGTCTGGAGTAACATGAGCATGTACATTTGTATAGAGGTAGCAAATGGGACATACGTTAATTTAATGAAATGTTTCATGTTATCGGTCCACTGTACATCTTCTTCGTCCTCTAGGCTTGGTGGCTACCCGGTGATTAATGTAATCAGTGAAAGGGGGGAGTGAAAATTTATTATTAGACCTCACATCGCCTTGAGTGATATAGAATATTAAATCGATGGGCCCGATTTCATGAGGGAAAGGGAATTTGTTTGTCACGAGCTCTAATAACGACAAGCCAGCAGACCAAACATCGGCTCGAATCGAATAGCTCTGTCCGCTTATTCGCTCAGGCTACAATTGCGAAAAAGTGAGACGGTTTAATTTATCAGTGACCTGCCAGAGCTGTATACGTACTGCCATATAGAAGCTTGTCCCGGTAAACGTCCCCGCCATAGAATCAATCAACTCGCCAGATACGCCGAAATCACAAAGTTTGACGACGCCCTCACGAGTAAGTAGGACATTCGACGGTTTGATGTCGCGATGAATGATTTTCTTGGTGTGCAAATAGGCAAGGCCCTCGAATATCTGGACGAAGGAGCGACTGAATGAAATCAAAAGTAGGGATATGAAAGGACAGCGACTCACCCCTTCAGCTATTCGCCCAGCAACCTTCTCACCAACTCTACCACCAAACTCCTTGATTCGTTTCCCGACAGCCTCCAAGCTCCCACCGTCGCAAACTTCCATCAGCACCTTTACTTCACTCGACGACGGAGATATGTATGCCCCGTAGAAGCGGCAGATATTCCGATGCACCGTGTTCTTCATAAACGACAGTTCCCGGACAAGTTGCTTAGGCGGTGTCTCGCGCGTCGTGATTGTCTTGCGTGCCATGACCACGTCGTTCCGCTTATCCTTGACCTTGTGGACCGCGCCACCCGCCCCTTCGCCCAAGCGTACGATGTCCACAAACATATCATCTGACCATTCTTCCTGACCATACACCGGAGCGCGCACCTCCTCCGACGAGATCTCGTTGATGGTCTTACGAAGCGAATACATTTCGTCCAAGGGCTCTGAACGTGCGATATTTGTGTTGACAGTCACGGGGGGCCTGATCGTCGGTTGATCACCGCTATCGAAACCACTGGGGAGTGGCAATGGCGGAGGCCCGCCGTAGTAATTGTATGTGGGCGAATCGCTGTCGTTGCTCCGGTTGCTGCCCTGGCCGTTGCTCGCAACGGCGGCATTTATGTTGAGCTTGGGCGTGACGGGGCGGAGGCGCTGCCTCGAAGCTGGGACGGGGTATAGGCCGGAAGAGGGAGAGGGTGCGGGGGACGCGTCCGGCACGACAAGAGACAAGGAGGGCGTGGATCTACGCTGAATATTGAGAGGAGCGGTCTCCGGAAGGGCGAAGGGTGCGGGAGACGGGGAGCGCTGGAGGATCCGTGGTCCGCTCGGACGCGGCGGAGCATTCATGGAGGAAAGGACGCGCTGTCGTCGCAGACGAGGAGGGGAGGAAGAGGGTGGTGGGGAGGCAAGGGCGGGAGGCAAGCGCCACAATATAATACAGCGGACGTGAACGCTTTAGGCTGGGACTTTATACTTTGGGAGCGCTGTGACAGCGTGCCGTATATGTACCACGCACGACCTAAGCCTGCTCATGCTTTATCCGTGCTTTCCTCTTCACAATTTAAATTCGGCTCGTCTTCTATGCTTCGACGCAGATAACTGCGCGGCAGGCTATTTTTTTCCTTTTAGAATTCAGTTCAATTGTATACGCATATGCATGTGTGACCCAAGGATCCCAATTCAACTTCAATCTTGTGCTTTCAATACCCGTAAAAGGCGAATCAAGAACGGCCGGGTTTTCTACAACATGAAGTCCTGCGCAACGATCGATTTTGGCTCGCTTCTTGTGAGCACCGTAGATACCTACCGACTGCGCCGATCGAACCTTTTCACCTTGGAACTCTTTCACGCGTCAGCCCGAAATCTCCAGACGCCCTTGCACGTATTTGACCGACGCTCACCATCAGTGTATACGTTATGGCGTCAGGCACACGTACGCTGGGTTGCCTGGGACGTCTGTTCTCGGTCATTGGAATACTTGGGCGCCGGGTTTTTCTCTAGACCTTCCTTCGTCACAGCTCACTCCATACGCTCTGTACGCCGGTAGTATTTTTGCTCTCAATCGCCGGCCCTTCCCTGTCGCACATTCATCCGATTAAAGCAGGTCTGCGTCGTTCTGGATGCAAATGGGCATATGTGTACTTGGGTTTCGAAGCATGAGCTATTCAGTTACCGCGACTGTCACGCGCTGCACCGCGGCGCAGTCCTTCGTCAATGGGCAATCGTGAAAATTCGGCATTAGACCCAGGGTCAAGAAGCTCTTGAGCGTCATTTCCCTGGGGCCGACTGTTTGTTGCCGTGCGTCCGTCGCTTTTGGGGGCTCGAGTATTCGCAACTTCCGACTCTCGCTATCGAAGAAGTGCGCGCTAAGGCACGTAGGCGGTCTACGAATACATCGGAGCATTATGGACACCGACGACGCCTTATACACGCTTCTACGACTCTCAAGCTTTACTGCAGGTTATCGGTTGAGTCTCCCGCCCTATATACATGTACGTAAGCGCCCATTTATGACGAGGGTTCTGTCATATACGCGGAGAAATGACCGTCTAGTAAGTATCCAAAACGTACACGCAAATTTGTTCTAGTTTGTTTCGGAGTGACTGTTGGTCGACGACCCGGAGTAGCGCCGAAAGTGACATGGACAGGACTACATGGCTGCTTTTACTTCCTAGTCAATCGGAGGTATCGGTAAGAAATGCCGGGGGACGAGACATAGAGGATCGCTAACCGTCAAAATTGGCAACAAATCGAGAAGCGCTGAAGACACACGCACCGAGTCAGAGCCTGAGACACCCATTTTAGGTTTGTAAGGATTCTTCTACATTCCATCCGCAACCGAGCGTATTATAATACACGCAACCCCCTGTGACGATACGGATGCACTTCCATTCTCGAGTTGTCAGATCATCGACGTTTTAGATCACATCCAGATCCCAGCTTTGGCGCAGAGAACGAACACACGTCATCCTGACAGTAACAATTGGTTAATGCATGTATGTATAAGGCGTGTTTGATGTCGTTCGTGAAAAAGGTCGGATGGTATGCATTTAGTCCCGCCGGCCGTGCTCAGCGGAGTATGACGACGAGTCCGATAACAAGCATCGAATGCGTTCGTTCTTTGTAACCTTGCTGGGCTTCGAAGTAGCATAAAAGAAACGAAGACAGCCTCGAGTAGCACTTCGTAATACTTTATGAGCAGGAATCCGTGTAGGTCGAAGATGAGAATCCCGGCGGCCAAGTAAGTAGCCGTCATTGAATACGACAGACTTCAGTTCAAGATTATGTCGTATTCGTTCTTCGAAGCGAAGCTAGGAACTGCGGACAACTGATACCCACATGGCTATGTGCAGCACGCTGTCTGGTCAGCGAAGTAATGCCCACAGAGCCTGCGCACATGAAGTCTTCCTTCTACTGGCTTCTGCTGTAAGTTGCGGTGGTGATCGGTCGTCGAGAGTCGCTATTGAATGCGGACCGTGCTTCGAGAAGACTTGTGCGAGAAAGGCATGTGGGTTGCTTTATCGCAAGAGCGGACGCAGGAATCTCCGACAGCGGAGAGTGCTTGCTCCGATAGTAGTGGGAATTCATAGATCCCGCAGTGAGCCGCCCAGTCACGCTGGGGCTTCCGAATCATTTGAGACCTGCGATTCGAGAATGTACTCTCATCGTTCGTGGCTTCTTCACAAGAGGCTCAGTGGCTGCGAGTTAGATGCGCTCACAATCAGATAGATGGTATCCACAACATCGAGGAAAGATGAGCTCACAACGAGACATTCAACCATCGTTATTCTCCCGTCCATCCAAGTCCAGTGAAATAGAAGATGCAGAAAGAACCCAAAGGAAGAGGCGCTTCGATGATTCGCTTTCGAGATGGCGATCACTGCTACGGTCAGTGGCTGTGAACGCAGCCCTGAGCTGGATCGACAGCTGAAACCAAAAACATTGCATACTAGCCACAGTCGCGACGTCGTCGTCCCCCTCCGATGTGGCGACCTTAGAAAACTCGTCATTAAAACGAACAAGAAACAACAACGTAGCAGCTCTTTTTAGAGTCCATTACCTTCTCCTATGCTGTATAAGCTTTCAGTTATAAATAAAATGCAAATAAAAGTACCGAAAAGGATATGAAATTTTTAGTTGTGGCTGTTGCGCAGGGTAAGGTACTTGTTGTGGCACTGCTCGTATTTGAGCAAAACGATCAATCTGTAGTGGCAAAGTGAACTCCGGCGATTTCGGATGAGAAGCAATAAAGTATGATGCTGCAGCAGTTCATTGCCTTACCAAATGAAGAGACAGTAGTATTTCAGACGAGAAAAACGTGCTCCAATGGGTCTTGGAGAACGAAAAGTATTATTCATACAAAATCCGGGACCGTTTGGGAGCTCTGCGGGCTGGCACAGGATAATTCCAACTGTGTTGAGGGATACTACACAGGCCGCATCTTTTTTCTCATCATGTAAAGTGGAAGAACCACCTTGGATGCGTCCTAGAGAGAATCGAGACCGTTGTTTTACAGGAGCAAGAAAGACAAACTTATATAAGCACAGAGGCTTGACGCGTCGAGCGTCGATCATTTTGCACCGCCACACCTGCCTATTCAAGCAACTTCCATCACATTTTGAGGCTTCTTCGTCCTTTTCCTCCTCCTTTTCGTCCCCTTCATCTCTTCCTCTATTCCCCTCTAACCTGCTGGTCGCATGTCACTCCCTTCGCAGGGTGGAATGGCCGAGTGGTTAAGGCGCCGTGTTTAGGTAATCATGCTTACAAACCGCGGTGGGAAACCTCGCGAGTTCGAATCTCGTTTCCATCATGTTTTGCTTCGCGTGACAAAGTTTGTTTTTCGCAGATTCGAATGTTGATCTTGGAATCGACACTCTTGATTGGCGCACACTGCGAACATGCCGACTCCTGTCATTAGTTCGTACATTGTATTCTCTATCGGTGTAATCTAATGCTATACGTCTCCCACAGTTGACACTGACCCAGGCGTAGACGATGCCGTTGCCTTGTACGCCCGTATATTCATCTTAAGACTACCGCTATAAGCGCATATACAGGCTATATGCACTGGCAAGTCCAGAAATAGAGATCTTGGGCATCATCGTATCGTTCGGTGAGCAGGCTTTTCGATATGTACGAACAAGATGTCTAATTTTGAACTCCAGGAAACACCGATATCAACGCCTCATAGTGGGTCAACATCGACTATTTCGCAAAAGTGCTTCCGAAAGGTTTAACGTACTCTCCAGTGACAATATCCTCAAATTGTACAACACACTCGCGCAGCATTTCGACAAGTTCCCCGATGATCGCAAGCGGTTCCCCAACTCTGACTCGAGGCCTTTCCTAGCTAGGGGCGCTCATGGGCCCCTGGAGGGCGCTCTTCAGAACGCTGAATTCTTCCATGGGAGGTACAATGGGTCTAGGCATACCGGTTCGAAGCATCGCTGACGCATTTGATGACCAGAGATGGGCTCGGAGACATAACGAATCGTTACCCCGATATCAGCACAGGAAACGGCTCTGATTACTTACAATTATCAGACAGGCTAGGGCATGAGCTTGCGCTGGACCTCATCCATGCTCGTCCGCCACGTACCGTCACTTATATCGCCCTTGGCCCTCTCACAAATCTCGCCCTCATGGTGCGACGAGACCCGACGACTTGCCGTAATACCCTCGGACGTGTAGTGTCAATGGGCGGGGCTCTCGACGTTCCTGGAAATTCCAACCCAGTCGCAGAGTGTGAGTTTTCTTCTGGCTGACGTTGATCGCAATGAAGCATTTTTATATTTAACTAGTCAACTTCTTCGCTGACCCCTACGCGGTCAAGGAGCTCCTCGTCGACGCCGCAATCCCGCTCTCGCGCTTCCTGCTTCTGCCGCTCGACATCACTACTCCGCATGAGCTCTCGTTCCCACTTTACGCGAATCGAGTCGATCCCACGTTCAAGATCTTCGGCCCGCCTTCGCGCGCAGAGGAAAAGTCCCCTATCACGCACTTCACCAGTGCGTTCTTCGAACGCACGCGAGAGGTCATGCGTGAGTACGGGAAAGACTCGATGGAGTGCGTTGTTTCTCTGTTTGCGCACATTAAAACAAACTGTCCTGGTATTAGGCTGCATGACGTTGTCGCGGTCTGGTGCGCAATATTGAACCCTCCACAAGCCGAGGAGGACGAAGACGGTCTTCCTATCCTTCAGGATCGCTGGAAGGCGCAGCGCAGACTGTTCCAGATTGAAAGGCAAGCTATACCCTGCTGTTTGCAATATGCAATATTAAGACCTCGCCTTCATAGAACCGGAGAACTCACACGGGGCATGCTCGTTGTAGACCGCCGTGACGAGGCAGCAGAGGCTCCGACGGAGCAAGAGAAAAGGTTCCAGACTGGCGAAAACAAAGCCGAGGTGCAGGCGCCGCTGGATCGCGCAGTGCACGATCTTCCTGCGCCCGTTCAGGTCGAGTTAGGGGCACCCGAACACGTCCATCCCAAGGGTGTTGCTTGCATCGTGGAAACACCTGGTTCCGAAACACTCGTCGCTTCCATGCTCTCAAGGATCTGGGGGATAACTGCATAATAGATTGCAACGAACGTGCGTAGTAAATTATCGTATAGAGTAACAAAGAAGCAGCAAATGCAACAAAAAACCGATGGACCAGTGATATTGAGCGAGGTGAATCCGAATTATACAAACAGAAACAGATCCTGAGACCAAGAAATCGGATAGTCTATAGAAGATAGTCAATGCACGATACTCCCCTCCAGATATTTAACCACAATCTTGGTCTTCGTATCGTCCGTCGTCTCGTTACGTAATATATCCAGCAGGCGTTGCGTAACCATGGCCGCGCACTCGTCAGCACGTCCGAAGCCTGACAGACACCCATCACGATACTCGCCCTCGTCGACGTCGAGCATTGCTGCAATCACTTGGGGCTCACCATGCCCCGACCATCTGAAGAGTACGGGGAGTGCAATGAGAACGGGAAGGCCCTCAGTAAGTAGATCGAGATCAAAATCCTCGCGCATATCTGTGCCAGAGTCAATAGCACCCAATAGCGCATTTAAAGCGGCCAGCGCTTCAAACGCCTCGTCAACTGCTTCACGCGCGATGCGGTTCGCATCATTCGTTGGTGATGGTTTAGGCAACAGGCTGAGCAAATCATATAACACCCGCGCATCTGAAGCAGTGCTAGTGGCTGACGGGTGTGTAGGTGATGGAGGGCGCGATCCAGGTAGCTTCATAGTGAAACGACTAGGTGGTGGTGTAGAAGGAGGCGTCGTAGCCGAGCCGAGCCGCTTCTTAAATGTGGTAGAAGACGTTGCAGACGCCGCAGACACGGAGTTGGAGCGCGAACGGGAGTTGAACGGACGATGTGAAAGCGACACGAGCGCGCGCCAGACGACAGAAATTAGCAGTGTCGCAAGAGTTGACTGCACGGACTTTGATGTCGTGTAACGCCCGAGGGCCTTCGCGTAGATGGGCATCAGCGCCTGCAGAGATGCGATCGACGGGTGCTGATGTACAGATCCTCTAGCGCTTCCCGTCGGCTTTGCCACCACAGATGTCAGAGATGTCGGATTGACAAACTCTAAGGCACGAATCAAAGGCATAAGGTCGCCTTTGAGTCCATCGATGAGCGGGTTCACTACCCTTCCTATTAGTGAAACAAGTCCCTCCCTAAAATTATTCAGACCATCGCCCCTATGATCGTGACTGAGGTCAAGGTCAAGTTCGTCAAGACAATCAAGCAATTCGCCTGCGAAAGCAGCGATTGCCAGAGCATGCGCCTGTGTTGGATTTGGATTAGGCGCTTGGACTGTTGGGGCAGCAGGCGCCAGGAATGCGGAAGAGGATAGGAGAGGAAGGAGTTGCGAGGACAGATTCGTAATGAGAACCGAAAGCGGTCTCTGTAGCAGCCTCAGAATCGCACGTTGAAGGTGTACCTTGCCCTGAGTCGCGTGGAGCTCGCTACAAGAAAAAGGAGGGAAGTGGCGTCGTGAGACGTGTTTTCTCAAGAAAATAATACAGATACCACTTACGCAGCAATAAGTTCACCTAAAGCATGACCTCTTCCTGCGGGGATGGGACGTTTCCCATTCAACACCTCCCCTGAAGCCACTGCTCCTGGGGGCTGGGCAAGAGCCTTTGTGACAGCCTCGCTCAGCTTCAGACTGAGGGATTCGAGATACGATCCATCCTGAACAAGTGGAAATGGTGTCACAGAACGAATCGGTGCTGGGGAGGGCTTTCTACCGAAGTGAGTCAGCGTAAGCTTGCTGAGAGGGCGCGCTGGACGATGATCGGCGCCGGTCTCTGAGTCGAGGCGGGGAGAAAGGGGGGTAGGGAGTGGCGAGGACGGCCTGCTAGATGGACGCAAGAAAGCCGGGGTCTTGAGTGGGTGCATTTCGGTAGTAGGTAGTAACAAAGGAGTATGATGAGTGCCGTGCAAAGACGACGGCTGCTTCTATAGTTTTTTTTCGTATTTTTCGGCGGACTGAGAATAGGGTATCTGATGCAGACAACCTGAAGGGGGCGAGCGGAATTATCCCATGGAGTGATAGACGAGAGAGCAAGAACGAGGTTTAAGTGTCGATGACAAGTGGGTCGTTCTAAGGGGGTCTGTCGGTGTCGACCCAGAAGAATGCAAGCGGTCCGAAGCGGATTCTATTAACCTGTAGTCGGATCCTGTAAATGTAAAGACCATGAGCACGAAGACAAGCACTCAGAGGCTCAGAAGAGGCGAGAAAACACACCTAGGCTGGAGGAAGCTCATAGATTGTGGAAAGGGGGCGATTGGCGGGGGGCGATGTGCGTCGTCGTTAGCAAAATTTGAGTCAAGGTTATTTCTACTCCCCACGCGCTACTTACTTCTGGCCGGATCAGTACCTTCCAATTTCTCACGAATACAAAATGTAAGTGCAAACTTACTGACACGATTGCAACGGAACCTATCGATGATTGCTCTTTCTGCAGCGAATTACGACACGCACATTGCATATGTTTTTTGACGTCCTACGCAACACAAAGCCTGACTCGCAAATGTCAAATGCAAAGATGCAAAGATGCAAAGAAACTCCTGCGGCAATGATACACGCTCTTGTTCTTTGGCATTCCAAGTTCGCAAGAATGCATATGAACTCCGCAACTATTATTGCTGTTTGCCTCTGACATGTTTCATATCGCCGTTTCCTCACCGAAGCAGCGCTAGGCAACCTCAAAGCACTATGCGCAATCGATAACATACTGCATAGAGGCGATTCAGAATCACCGACCTTCGTCCTTAGTAGGACATGCGATGACCAACCAGGTTTACAATACTTACTCCGCCGTGTTATGCGTCAGATTCGTCCTATGCGGTGGTTTCTTTATATACTTCCAAACCCCAATCTTCGATCTGTTCACTTATCCGACTCGTGCGCATCAGAAATCTGCTCTTCGTGCGCACTGGCGAGCCCCACATCCTTCAAAATCGCCACTACGCTCTCCTTCTTTACCGCATCGAGCTCGCGCTCGCTCTTAACGAGCAGCATCCCCGCGAAGCCGAGCGCATTTACGCTGAGTGCGTCGCCCGTCTCGCTCAGCACATGCTCCTCGCGCCGGCGTGGGATAATGTACATGTGTGCTCGCGTGAGGAGCACATTGTACGACGGTTGTCCTACGGGGTGCATAGGGTCGTGCCGCACGGTAGAGATAGCGAGATCGAGGAGCGTCATAAATGCAACGCCGAGGGTATCCTCTAGCAATGGGCGCGGAGTCGACGAAGAAAAGCTCGGAAGGCGGCGGATATGGGTTGCATAGGGTAGGGA